GTGGTGTTGACTCTGCCGCCCCTTGCGTGCAGCGTGCCGCTCTTAATAGGTGAACATCACTTGCCCCAAAAATGAATACGACCATAAGCGGATATATGTTTTCTATGTGTGTTTATACGGGGCTCTACGGTGGTGAGATGTTATTTACCTCGCCTGGTATACAGGAGGTCGTGGGTTCGACCCCAACCCTGGCGCATGTATATTTGGAGTTTGCGTGTCCTCCCCATGGTCGTGTGCATGTTCCCTCCACATTTCGAAACACGCGTTTTGCGTATTTGGCTGCTATTGATGTCCACGTGATAAACCACTTCGTTGAGCTATCATGTGTGGTCAGGTCGCTTCTGAAAAAGAGCTGTATAGCTCAGTGGGCCTTACCTGGTAAAATAAACATGTTTTTTTTTTAATATGTGCGTGGTTAGCGCACTGCGATATGATCCAGGCCACCAGAGTTCGACTCCCGGTCATGGCCAATAAAAGTGGCTAATATTTGAACTGGTCCTGGGCCTCCCATTGGTCGACTTAAACAGCCCCTCGTATTCTGTGCCAACCTTCATAGGTGCTCGCTGTCCCAACAGCACATCACAGGCTGTGCGGGGAATCGTTGTCTTTGAGTATGCGTGGGTATGGTGGGGGGCAGTCGCCCTCCAACAACAACGGAGAGCAGAGGAGCGACGCTCACAACAACGAGCGGAGCGCCGGGTGGCTAAAACGCAGCAAGTTGGCACAGTAGGGGGCACAGGTGGTGTATCGTCTCAATCAACAACTCGTGACACCTGGCTATGTGCCGTGACCTCCTGCGGGCGAGCCTTCCACCCACGCATCACCCACGCATCACCCACGCCTCGCTCACGCATCACCCACGCATCACTCACGCACACGCACGCAAACAAGCACGCGCACACGTACACACACAGATGTTGTGAAACTCCCTTCTCCGTGGGCGTCCGTACCCTGGCTCGCCAGGAGGTGCCGGCGGTCCAGCAAGCCTGTGGACTCCCATCCGTGCCACCTGTATGGGATCGAGCAGTGGTTCTTCTTCACCTGGGGCGCTATGCAGCCCCTGGTGGTGCGAGATTCCATTTCGGGGGGGGGGGGGGGTGCGAGGCACGCACATATACTTTTTTTAAAGGCAAATAATGGAAACACAAATTCAGCAAGGACACGTATGTTACACTTCGTTTAATCAAACCCGATGTATTTATTAAAATTGTAAAAAAATAAATTACGATCTAGAACCAAAGGCGTACAGGGCTGCGTTTAAAAAAAAACGTTAAGAACCACGAGGATCGAGAGTTGCGCTTCCTTCTCGCACGCGTGGGTTTTTTCCCCAGGTGCTCTGATCTCCACCCACGTGTATTCGTGAGTTCGACGACAACACCCTCACATATAGAGGACCGCAGAGCTCGGGCAATGGTTGGTAGCGGCGGCTCATCGCGTTTCTCGCCCGCGTCCTTTCGTGTCTGCGGCCTCCTCCTCGTTTCTCTGAATTATTCTGTCAATATGCGCGGCGCGTTACACGTAGGGCAGTATTATTTATGATTAGCATTCGCGAGAAAATACAACTTTGTTGTTCTGGGGGCGGGGGGGGCGGGGCTGCATCCAATGCCTTGAACACAATCCGCTGTGAGTCAAGCGCGCGGGTGATGGGATGAGTTGGGAGAGAAGTTAACGCCGACAGAGCCGAGCTTAGCGACACAGCAGGGGTGTAGAAGGATGAGGAGGGAGAGGAGGAGGGGATGCTGGAACGTGGCCAGGTGCTTGATGTATTGCGCCGCGGGAGCCGATGACGGCACGGGAATGTGGGGCGAAATCGCGTGAAGATGTTGGTGAGGTCAGAATCAGGCGCCATGACCTGTGCGTGTGTGTGTCAGTGAGAGTGTGGTAGTGTAGCGGTTAGCGCGCTGCGCTGTGAAGCCGGCGACCCGGGAACGATTCCCGCTCACGGCCAACACCGGTGACGATTTTCTGAACCGGTCCTGGGCCTCCCCTAGGTCGACTCAGCCTCAAATGAGTACCTGGTACGGTGTGTAAACATCGCCACTGGGGAGACAAAGGCGGTCGGGCGTGGTGCTGGCCACCCACCCCCTCGTGCACCGTTGTGGCCTTAATAGGTGCTCGCTAACAACACATGTCCCAGCAGTCTGTTAAGGCTACACGAGGGATCTTGGTGTCAGTGAGATGGTGTGTGTGCCAGTGGTGAGCGGTAGTTCAACGGTTAGCGAGCTGCTGTGCTACGACCCTGGTGACCCGAGTTCGATTCCCGCTCACGGCCACCACCAGTGACGATTATCTGAACCCGGTCATGGGCCTCCCCTAGGTCGACTCAGCCTGTAATGAGTATGTGTGTTAACATTGTCATTGTGGAGACAAAAGCGGTCGGGCGTGCTGCTAGCCACCCACCTCCTCGTGTGCAATGCGGGCATTCATGGCTGCGTCGGGTGGTGGATGGTTACGACACATTTATACTTCCGATAATTAACCCAAAAGCCTTTATGAACCAGTAAAGTGTTGCAATTGCTGCACGAGTTTTACCACTCAGTACCATGACTCTTTATATGTTTGTACGTGCTGTACAAACATATGTATGTTGAACTTCATACCGTACGTAGTCAACCGCGCTAATGGAAGGTACGAGGTTCCTGCCAAGTTTATGCAGTAGGGGGCGATGCATATCATTGAATCATTTGAGGGTATTATTTCAAACACCGGCACAAATAGTGTCCTTACACTGTTAAGCAGACGGCGCATAGTATTAGTATTATAATGGTAAATACAACCGCTCTATTATTCAGGGCGGCCGCTGCAATCGAACCGTGAACCTCTGCAACAAGCGGAGAATGCGAATATGTTCTCCCCTTTTTTCTGGCAACAAAGCAGCTGTGTTAAGATGTTAAAACACCACACTGAAACCTTTTACAAGGAATCATGTCTGCATTAACCGTACGCCTTTTGGCGTCCTCTGGTCTAACACCGTTTGAGACGAGGCTCCAAAGAAAGCTGTTTCTGGTGTGGACCAATCAGTTTCAAAGACGATGCACATGATGAAGCGGAGTAGCCTCTGCCGCTGGGTCAACGTCATCTCGCCCGATTTATTCCAAACTCATGAACGTGATGCGGTGCCAATTCGGAGCGCGCACAGGAACAATGCCGACAATTGTTTACACAGGAACGCCGCGCCGAGTCTTAACAACATTTGTGTTGACATCGTCCATTGGGATATTTCGCATTTCCATGAGCGAGCATTTTATTTGAGCGTTCGTGTTGGAGGAGACCGGCGAGACCCCCCAGCACTCACGCGAGGTCACCTCAGCACCGCCATCCCCCTGCCACGCACCACGCACCGCTTGTTGTTGTTGTGTTCGTTTGCTGTTGTCCTTCCCCCCGCACATCCGATTAGCACGGTTGGCTACGTACGGTGCGACAGAAATTCTACGTGCGCCGCGCAGCTCCACGCCTACACCAGCCGGCAAGCAGTGGCGGCGGCGGCGGGGACGACCAATCCAACCACTGCCTCCCAATCAGCGCGCTCTCCAGTCCGATCCGATGCAGCGCCCACTCCCTTTCCTCCAACCACCAACTCTCTTCCTCTTCGCCCGCTCTCCCTCCGTTGCCTTTGCTTCAATCTCTTGCTCCGCTCCTCCGCTCTTCCACCCCGCATCTCATCCCGTGCTCCCCCCCTCTCCCCCCCCCCCGTTTGGTCTCCATCGCCTCCTTCCGTCCCCGTATCGCTCCCCTCCCTCCACCTCATATCCTCCCTCCCCTTCCCCTCTGCCTCCCTCCCCTTCCTTCTCCCGCGGCTCCCTCCCCCGCTCCCCCGTTCGCCCGCCCGCTCGCTCTCTCCCGCGCTGGGTAAAGGGTTAAACCGTCGGTTTGCCCGCCCCTCCCGTCGCTCGGCGCGCATCGCTCCCTCTGCGCTCTCGCATCATCCAAGAGCGCGCTGGAAGCGGGGCTCCCCGCGTGTCGTCTTCGTCGGAAATTGCATTTTGTGTGCTGGTTGTATTCTTTGTTTTTTGTATTATTATTGGCGAGGAGGAGGAGAAGAAAGGAGGTTGGGGGGGGGGGGGGGTAAAGCGCTGCGTTGCTTTTTTTTTTAGTTTTCTTTAGGCACGGGCAAAAGCGGAGGTCGCGGAGAGACGCGGAGACGTGGAGTGGTGGAGTCCTGGTCAAATCAACTCCATCGACACAGAGGGAGACGAGCAGATAGACAGACGGACGGGGACATAGGCGGATGGGCGGGTTGGCGGCTCACGGACACTTGTAGGCAGACAGGGAGCTAGGACAAGAAGACAGACGGGACAGGTAGGTAGGATAAACGAATTTACATTCCGACGGATGAATGGAAGAAGAGACGGACAGACACTAACAATTTGACACGATACGACGTTGATATCTGTAACATCGTTAATGCATCGATACACGTGCATACGACGGACACACGCTGTGAGTGTACACACCTAAGCGTTTATCAACTGAACACACAGCCAGATGTACGCACACACGGACACACGGACACACACGCGGACAACACTCGCAATTCGGACGATGCACGTGCGCATCCGAGGAATGGACAGGTAATCTAACGCGCTGACGGATGGACAGACGCCAGGCACACGAGACACTTCACACCGGAGCAAGGCCACACACGCGAGGTGCAAACGAATATTAATTAGTTCAGCCCAGGAAGCTTTCGTCTGGTCGCACGGACAGGGCAATTCGCGGCACACCTGCTCCTTCACACCGTACGTGCACACACGCACACACACACACGCATACACGTGCACACACGCATACACACACGTGCACACACACACACGCATACACACGCACGCACGCACACACACGCAAACACACACACACACACGTGCACACACGCATGCACACACATACGGGGTGGGCATCGGTCCTACCTACCAGCTGCCTCTCGACAACTTGAGCCTGAGACGACGAGCAGAGACGATAACGACCCAAGGGGGAGGAGGAGGAGGACAAAGGAGTAAGCGGAGAGGCAGGGGCTCCGGACCCCCTCCCAGAGACCCCGATGCCAGCTCTACCCCAGCAGCAGCAGCGCGGCGGCCAAGGCCCCCCACTTGTCTCGTCGGGCGTGGCCAAGGGGGAACGCAGTGGGGCACGGGGGGCCCCCACCTCGCGTTTCGCCCCGGGGCCCGTGGAGGTGAGACAGAGAGAGATAGTGTGTGTGAGATAGTGAGTGTGTGTTATAGTGTGTGTTATAGTGTGTGTTATAGTGTGTGTGTTATAGTGTGTGTGTGTGTGTGAGATAGTGAGTGTGTGTTATAGTGTGTGTTATAGTGTGTGTTATAGTGTGTGTGTGTGTTATAGTGTGTGTTATAGTGTGTGTGAGATAGTGAGTGTGTGTTATAGTGTGTGTTATAGTGTGTGTGTTATAGTGTGTGTGTGTGTTATAGTGTGTGTGTGTTATAGTGTGTGTGTTATAGTGTGTGTGTTATAGTGTTTGTGTGTTATAGTGTGTGTGTGTGAGATATAGTGTGTGTGTTATAGTGTGTGTGTGTTATAGTGTGTGTGTTATAGTGTGTGTGTGTTATAGTGTGTGTGTGTGAGATATAGTGTGTGTGTGTGAGATAGTGTGTGTGTGTTATAGTGTGTGTGTGTGTGTGAGATAGTGTGTGTGTGTTATAGTGTGTGTGTGTTATTGTGTGTGTGTGTGAGATATAGTGTGTGTGTGTGAGAGAGATAGTGTGTGTGTGTGTTATAGTGTGTGTGTGTGAGAGAGAGATAGTGAGTGTGTGTGTGAGATAGTGAGTGTGTGTGAGAGAGATAGTGAGTGTGTGTGAGATAGTGTGTGTGTGAGAGAGATAGTGAGTGTGTGAGAGAGATAGTGAGTGTATGTGTGAGAGAGATAGTGAGTGTGTGAGAGAGATAGTGAGTGTGTGTGAGAGAGAGATATTGAGTGTGTGTGAGATATTGAGTGTGTGTGTGAGATATTGTGTGTGTGAGATAGTGAGTGTGTGTGAGAGATAGTGAGTGTGTGTGTGAGAGAGAGATAGTGAGTGTGTGTAAGATATTGAGTGTGTGTGTGTGAGATATTGAGTGGGTGTGTGAGAGAGATATTGAGTGTGTGTGTGAGAGAGAGATATTGAGTGTGTGTGTGAGAGATATTGAGTGTGTGTGTAAGAGAGGAGCAGTAGTGTAAGTGGTCAGCGCACCACCCAATGAATCCGGCGACCAGAGTTCGATTCCCTGCTCACGACCAATGTCAATGACGGATATTTGAGCAGATCTTGGACTTCCCCTAGGTCGGCTCAGCCTTAAATGATAACCTGCTGCGGTGTGGTGCTGTGTTGGCCGCCGGAACCCTTGTGTGCCGTGCTCGCTCAGAGCACAGTCTGCCGTTGTATGTGAGTTAGGGTGCGGATGTGTGTGTGTGTGAGATAGTGAGTGTGTGTGAGATAATGTGTGTGTGAGAGATAGTGAGTGTGTGAGAGATAGTGAGTGTGTGTGTGTGTGAGAGATAGTGTGTGTGAGTGCCTGGGTATTTTGTACCATCGGACACTCCACCCCCACAACTCCCAATCGGTGATGGGGCAGTTGTGGAGCGAGTGGAGAGTTTCCCATACCTGGGCAGTGTGCTTATGACCGGCTCCAGTTTAACAGCAGAGGTCTCACTCCGAATCAGTCGAGCGGCAATATCTTTTCATCGGTTGCGTAACGCTGTGTGGAAGCTACCTGGTCTGTCGCTCCGCACTAAGCTTCCGGTCTTCTCGGCCACGGTCATTCCCTCCCTTCTCTACGCTTGCGAAACGTGGACCCCCCTAATGGAACATCTTCACTGGTTAGAAACATTTAGGCTGGCCTGTCTACGATCCATCCTGGGTTTAACCAGACTGGATTGTGTGAGAAGCTCACAAATCCTTGAAAGATCTGGGCAAGGTCCCATCGGTGAGCTCCTCCGGCGGGCAAGGCTGCGATGGCTGGGTCATGTAGCCCGCATGCCCAGCCACCGCATGCCGAAACAGCTTTTGTTCGGCCGGATTGAGGGGGCTAAACGGGCGCGGCACGGGCTAGAGAGGAGATGGAGTGATGTGGTACAGGAGGACGTGGAGCTGAGTGGACTTGCCGATGACTGGTACCAGCGGTGTCAAGATCGGCCTCTGTGGAGGAGGCTTGTGAAGGACGCTACTGGGCAGTTGGAGGTAGTCGCCCTCCACCAACAACGGAGGGCGGAGGAGCGACGCTCACAACAACGAGCGGAGCGCCGGGTGGCTAAAGCACAGCAGGTTGGCACAGTAAGGGGCACAGGTGGTGCATCAGCCAGTCATCTCGGTCATCTCAGTCAGTCGACCCGTGGCACCTGGGTCTGCCCCGTGACCTCCTGCCAGCGGGCGTTCGACACTTCACGTGGCCTCAGGGTGCACATAGCCTGGCACAAGCGTCGTGGTGACGTCACCGCCACTTAGTGGTGAATGGCGGTTGTTGTTGTTGTGAGTGTGTGAAAGATAGTGAGTGTGTGTGTGAACAGGTTCGCAGATTTGCTGAGCATTTCTGTGAGGTCCTGGGGGAGGGAAAATCCCTCAGCCAGGAAAACATCGTGGCACAAAGTGAGGATGACCCTGCTGAGGCTGCGGTGCCTCAAATATTGGATGAAGTCACCCCCTGTGAGTGGCTGGCTGAGGTGCCATCTGCTGAGGAAGTATTGAAGGCGATCCGGAGTCTGAGACCAGGAAAGGCAGCGGGCAGAGATGATCTTCCAAGCGAAATGCTGAGGGAGGGTGGCGTTTGTGCACAGACTGCCCTATATGACATCATAACAACAGTCTGGACCACTGGACGGGTTCCGCAGGATTGGAAGGATGCCCTGGTGGTCCCCCTTTTTAAGAAGGGGGACCGCACAGACTGTAACAACTACAGGGGCATCTCACTCCTCAGTGTGCCGGGAAAGGTCCTGGCAAGGATTATTCAGCATCGCCTTGCCAGGCACGCTGAGGAGAGGCTTGCGGAGCCCCAATGCGGTTTCAGGAAAGGGCGGTCCTGCACAGATGCCATATTTTCTGTCCGTCTGCTACAGCAGAGGTGTAGGGAATTCCAACAAGACCTACATCTCTGCTTTATTGACCTGGTCAAGGCCTATGATACCATCAGTAGGCCTGGGCTCTGGGTCGTTCTTCGTGCTTTTGGAGTACCTGACCCTCTGCTCACGATCATTAAGGACCTTCATGATGGTGAGCGGGCCCGGGTAAAACTACGTGGCTGGGAGTCAGAGCCATTCCCTGTACACCTTGGGGTGCGACAGGGATGTCCTCTGGCTCCCACATTATTTAACATCTATTTTGACCACGTAGTTCGTGAAGCCTTCAATAGCTGTACCGGGGGAATCTCCATATGGTACAGATATAATGGGAGGCTAATCGATGCCCGGGTGCGGTCAAGGGATGGCTCCCTATTGCTCAACCACGTTATGTATGCTGATGACTTGGTAATAGCTGCTCAGTCAGAGGAGGAGTTGGAGACGCTGCTGCTGAGACTGGAGCGTGCCACTAAGAGGTGGGGCCTTACCATCAGCCCCACCAAAACCAAGCACCTGCCTGGGTATTTTGTACCATCGGACACTCCACCCCCACAACTCCCAATCGGTGATGGGGCAGTTGTGGAGAGAGTGGAGAGTTTCCCATACCTGGGCAGTGTGCTTATGACTGGCACCAGTTTAACCGCAGAGGTCTCACTCCGAATCAGTCGAGCGGCAATATCTTTTCATCGGTTGCGTAACGCTGTGTGGAAGCTACCTGGTCTGTCGCTCCGCACTAAGCTTCAGGTCTTCTCGGCCACGGTCATTCCCTCCCTTCTCTACGCTTGCGAAACGTGGACCCCCCTAATGGAACATCTTCGCCGGTTAGAAACATTTAGGCTGGCCTGCCTACGATCCATCCTGGGTTTAACCAGACTGGATTGTGTGAGGAGCTCACAAATCCTTGAAAGATCTGGGCAGGGTCCCATCGGTGAGCTCCTCCGGCAGGCAAGGCTGCGATGGCTGGGTCATGTAGCCCGCATGCCCAGCCACCGCATGCCGAAACAGCTTTTGTTTGGCCGGATTGAGGGGGCTAAGCGGGCGCGGCACGGGCTAGAGAAGAGATGGAGTGATGTGGTACAGGAGGACGTGGAGCTGAGTGGACTTGCCGATGACTGGTACCAGCGGTGTCAAGATCGGCCTCTGTGGAGGAGGCTCGTGAAGGATGCTACTGGGCAGTTGGAGGCAGTCGCCCTCCAACAACAACGGAGGGCGGAGGAGCGACGCTCACAACAGCGAGCGGAGCGCCGGGTGGCTAAAGCACAGCAGGTTGGCACAGTAGGGGGCACAGGTGGTGCATCAGCCAGTCATCTCAGTCAGTCGACCCGTGGCACCTGGGTCTGCCCCGTGACCTCCTGCCAGCGGGCGTTCGACACTTCACGTGGCCTCAGGGTGCACATAGCCTGGCACAAGCGTCGTGGTGACGTCACCGCCACTTAGTGGCGAATGGCGGTTGTTGTTGTTGTTGTGTGTGAGTGTGTGTGAGAGAGACATTGAGTATGTGTGTGAGAGATAGTGTGTGTGTGAGATAATACGTGTGTGTGTGTGTGTGAGATAGTGTGTGTGTTATAGTGTGTGTGTGTGAGAGATAGTGAGTGTGAGTGAGAGATAGTGAGTGTGTGTGAGAGAGAGTACGTGTGTGTGTGTGCGAGAGATATTGAGTGTGTGTGAGATAGTGTGTGTGAGAGATAGTGAGTGTGTGTGAGATAGTGAGTGTGTGTGAGAGAGATAGTGAGTGTGTGAGAGATAGTGAGTGTGTGAGAGATAGTTAGTGTGTGTGTGTGAGATAGTGAGTGTGTGTGAGAGAGATAGCGAGTGTGTGAGAGAGATAGTGAGTGTGTGTGAGAGCGAGATAGTGAGTGTGTGTGAGAGAGATAGTACGTGTGTGTGTGAGAAAGATAGTGAGTGTGTGTGTGAAATAGTGTGTGTGTGAGAGATAGTGTGTGAGAGAGATAGTACGTGTGTGTGAGAGAGAGATAGTACGTGTGTGTGTGTGAGAGAGATAGTGAGTGTGTGTGTGTGAGATCGTGTGTGTGTGAGAGATAGTGAGTGTGTGAGAGAGATAGTGAGTGTGTGTGAGAGAGATAGTGAGTGTGTGAGAGAGATATTGAGTGTGTGAGAGAGATATTGAGTGTGTGTGAGATATTGAGTGTGTGTGTGAGATAGTGTGTGTGTGTGAGATAGTGAGTGTGTGTGAGAGATAGTGAGTGTGTGTGTGAGAGAGAGATAGTGAGTGTGTGTGAGATATTGAGTGTGTGTGTGTGAGATATTGAGTGGGTGTGTGAGAGAGATATTGAGTGTGTGTGTGAGAGATATTGAGTGTGTGTGTGTGAGAGAGATATTAAGTGTGTGTGAGAGATATTGAGTGTGTGTGTGAGAGATATTGAGTGTGTGTGTGAGAGATATTAAGTGTGTGTGTAAGAGAGGAGCAGTAGTGTATGTGGTCAGCGCACCAGCCAATGAATCCGGCGACCAGAGTTCGATTCCCTGCTCACGACCAATGTCAATGACGGATATTTGAGCAGGTCTTGGACTTCCCCTAGATCGGCTCAGCCTTAAATGATAACCTGCTGCGGTGTGGTGCTGTGTTGGCCGCCGGAACCCTTGTGTGCCGTGCTCGCTCACAGCACAGTCTGTCGTTGTATGTGAGTTAGGGTGCGGATGTGTGTGTGTGTGCGTATATGAGAGTGAGATAGTATACCTGTTTAGCCGAATAGAAAGGGCTAAACGGGCAAGGCACGGGATGGAGAAGATAATGGCTGCTCATGTGGTACAAGAGGATGTGGGGCTGAGTGGACTAGACGATGACTCTGGTGACAGCCTCTGTGGAGGAGGTTCATGAAGGACGCTGATGGGCAGTTGGAGGCAGTCGCCCTCCAACGGAGAGCGACGCTCGCAACTGCGATCGGATCGCTGGGCGGCTAAAACGCAGCAAGTTAGCGCAGTGTGTAGCACAGGTGGTGCATCTTGCTAGTCATCCCATTGAGCCAACCCATGGCACCGGGGTCTTCCCCCGTGACCTCTTTGCGAGCGAGACTCCGCCACTCCACGCGGCTTCAAGGTGCCTCTTGGTGTTGGCTTCGTTACAAGATAACCGAGAGGGGGGGGGGGGGGGGCAGGAACGGGTAACCGTTTTAAAAAGAAAAAAAGCAATTACAAAAGTCAGACACCGGTTTAATCGTTTCAACTGCGCTGTTCGTAATAAACGCGCGGCTACTTTGTCAATCCACTGCTGGATTAAGGCATCCCAACGCCGTGTGAGGTCCTGGAAAGTTGCTTGGCCATACTTCACCGCGCTGGTCAGTGCGCGTTGGTGAAGCGGCGGTGAAGAGATTGGCGCCCAGGTACCGGTGGAGACACGGGGTATATCACTCGCCACTGATGTTCACTGCGGCAGCGAATCGAACTCCCGCAACCCAGGCCCGCCCCGTTTCATAACCAGAATCAGAACGTTCATTTATCCTGGAGGAACCCGATGAGCTATAAAGCGCTTTTTTGCTCACAGACGTCCAGTAGCTAACGGCAGCGTGCGCGCGTGATCCACTGCGCAGAAGGCGCTCGCCTCGCACCCCTTCATTGACCCCCTCCAGAAATCGTCGGATAACCCGGCCCCTCCCCCCCCCCACACCTCCCGCGGTGCCCAGGCCAAGCCGGCCACGGTGGCCGCGGCGGCCGCGGCGTCAATCACGGCGACGGCCAAGATCGCCGACTCGCGCCCCGTCTTCGTGAACCTGCGCCGCAAGTGGCTCGTGACGGCGGCCGTCGGGGTGGTGACGGTGCTCGTCCTGCTCATCGCCATCCCCGTCCTCGTCTACTCGAAGCACTCGGCCGCCGCGCACGAGATGCTGGGCACGTGCCGCACAGTGTGCGACCCCCACGCCGCCGCCGCCGCCGCCGCCGCCGCTCGGCCCAGGGACGCGGCGGAGCGGGGCCACGCGCTCACGACCCCCACGCTGCAGATGTCGGGGCCGCGCGGCGAGCAGGGCCGCGCGGGCAAAACGGGGCCGCGCGGGCCCCAGGGCGAGCCGGGGCCTCCGGGCCCTCGGGGTCCGCAGGGCGAGCGAGGGGTGGCGGGCCCTCCCGGCGCGCTGCTGCCCGGCTCGGGTGCCGTCAGCGTGCCCACCTACTACTCGGCGCCCAAGATCGCGTTCTACGCGGGGCTCCGCAACCCGCACGAGGGCTACGAGGTGCTGCGCTTCGACGACGTCGTCACCAACCTGGGCAACCACTACGACCCGGGCAGCGGCAAGTTCACGTGCTCCATCTCGGGCACGTACTTCTTCACCTACCACGTGCTCATGCGAGGAGGGGACGGCACCAGCATGTGGGCCGACCTGTGCAAGAACGGGCAGGTACGTGGGGAGGGAGGTACAAGGGGGTGCTGTGGGGTGGGTTGGTAGGTGGGGGGTACGAGCGCCGAAAGCCGGCGGGACCAATCCGTTAAGGGAGCCTCGGTCGGCGTTTGGCGTTACGAGCGAGTGGCGGGCGCCGAGTATAGCGGTAGCTTGCTTAGTTGGCACGCGAGAAAGACAATGCAGAATCCCAATTGTGGGGTTTTTTTGCTGGAAGAATCCGATGAGCTATAAAGCTCTTTTTCACAGATGTCCAGTAGGGACGGGCCAGAGCGTTACAACAACAGTACACAAACACGATAGGAGTGCAAAGTGCACTAAAGGTAAACAATTAACTTCAAAAACATACGCACATAAAACTAAACTATTTCTCTCTTACCAATTCGCTGGTTACGCAATGTCTAGTACTGTATCGAGACGGTCGTGAGTCCCAATGGAACTCCCAACCCCAATCCTGGAGTTCAATCATCCCCGGACACCTCAGGTTTAAACGAAGCCCTGGGCGTGAGCGAGCGAGCGAGGTTAATTAAAGAAGAGATGGTTCTCGTGAAAGGGGGTGGGAGACCTTGCAATTGGATCCAGATAGACGTGAAGTCGGATAAGCGTCGACGCGATTGACTATAGCGATTGGATATTTAATGTTGTGAGCTACAATTCCACGACGTGCTGAGCGGAGGAGCCCGCTTGTTCCACCCGCGGTCATCGGCGATGCTGCGCGTGAAGGTTTACAACGCGTGGCATTGGAAGTTTGCTGAAGTTCCTTGGATCGGTCCAATATTCGTGGAGGAAATATCAACACCCTTCTCCCACGCGTTGTCGCGGTCCTCTGTCGCTGGTGCCGAGAGAAGTTGTGGTTTTCAAGAGCACACGAGCTGATGTTTTGGGACGCACTCCCGGATAGAGCCGACCCGTCATAAACTGCAAGCAGTGGAGGTCACCCGTCCATGGAGGCGAACGAGGGCGGTCGCCTAGGGCGCCAAGTTAAGTGGAGCGCCAAAAGTCGAGGCGAAAAATGTAAATACGTAAAAACGTAGATGTCATTGTTTTAATCCCCACGTGCACGTACAGATTGAATATTAATTATAATTAATTTATCAACATTCCCGAGAATGTATTAGTTGGACAGACGGACAAACCGAATAATTATGCCTCTGATTAAAAAAAAATACGCTTACAAAAACATTAAACGGAAATTCGGGGCAACATGTTTCCCAGTTTACCACAAAAAAAAACCCCTCTCAGCCTGGATCTGCCCTTGGGGTTTGGAGGTGGGGGCGCCGATTGCACGGCTCGCCCTAGGACGCCAGTCGCTCGCAGCTGCTCGTCTCGGGCTCGCCCCGACAGCACTCACTCACTACCCCGTGCATGCCGAAGTGACATCTACTGACGGCACCGTGCGCTTCATTGAAGATGAACCCAGAGGACAAGCGGCTCCTGTGTTGCAGGCTCGCGAGCCTTGTAGGCTGCGTGACGACCCAGGCTGCCCGCCTCGGGTCGGTCTGCGTGTGGCGGCGTGTGAGTGAGTGCGCGGCTAACACCAGTGACGATTATCCGAACTGGTCCTGGACCTCCACTAGGTCGACTCAGCCTCAAATGAGTACCTGGTGCGGTGTGTGAACATCGCCACTAGAGAGTCAAAGGCGGTCTGGCGTGGTGCTGGCCACCCACCCCCTCGTGTGCCACAGTGTCGGCCTTCATAGGTGCTCGCTAACAGCACTTGCCCCGACAGTCTGTTCAGGCTATACGGGTGATCTTTGTGTGAGTGTGGGGCCAATACCAATGGCGAATATCAACTGATGCTGGGTCTCCCATAGGTCGACTTAGCCTCAAATGAGTACCTGGTGCGGTATGTGAACATCGCCACTAGAGAGACAAAGGCGGTCGGGCGTGGTTCTGGCCAGCCCACCCCCTCGTGTGCCGTGTCGGCCTTCAGAGATTCCCGCGAAGAGCACTTGCCCCGACAGTCTGTTCAAGACTCTATGGGGTGGGTCTTTGTGTGGGCAGAGAAAGGGAGCGGTGGCACAGTGGTTAGTTAACTCAATGTGCTACCGATCCCAGCTACCAGAATTCGATTCCTAACCACGGCCAGCAACCACAGGACGAGTGATCTCTGAGCCGGTCATTGGGCCTATTCCGAGCTAGATTTCATCCTTAAAAAAAGAGAGTTCCAGGCTCAATATTCAAATCACCAGCAAATGGGGATACAAAGGCGGCTGGGCGTGGCTCCGACCACGCCGAACCTTCGTGCCGTCATCAAGAGGCGCTCGCTCGTTGGAAGCAAACAGCCTGTGAAAAGCTATTCGGGGGGAAAGGGGACGTAAATATTTGTATGCGCAGTAAGAATAATATGACAGAGACAAACAATGTATTGGCTGGCTGACAGACGCTGCTTAGTTTCGCGATGCATCACTGGCAAACTTTGAAGGCATGAGGCGGCACGGACGCGTGTCGAGAGACGAAAGTCTTCCTCGAAGGCTCTGCCGGCTCCCTAATGGAGTTTTACTTTTATGCTCCCCCGTGCAGCCGCAGTAATGCAATGTATTCAACGCGGCGGTGGGGGAGCGGTGGCGCACCGGTTAGCGCCCTAACATAAGAACCACCGCTGCAGTCTGACTCCCATTCCCGGATAATGTCAGCGGAGAGGGAGATTCGAAGCCGGCGCTGACCAGGGGTGCTGCGGTATTGGTCAAAGAAGCCCCCATGGCAAACACGGCGTGGGGATGTCTTCATCCAGCAGTAGATTGGCAAAGGGATTTACGCGTAGGCGGAGTTTGCCTTCTAGATTTGGGGTGGGGGTGGCAGTTGTTCGCTTTGTCCCTCACATTCGGAATCGCGCGTGCATATAATTAATTAATTAACCTTTAATTTTTATTGTAAACTCCTGAAAATCAATTGATGTGTCAAGTTTGGTGGTGGGGGGGGAGTCATTGCCCGCCGCTGTGCCCCGCGTGCACCAAACTCCGCCCATGGCTTTACACGACGACTCTATTAATAATACATATTATAATTATTTATAATAATTATAAATAATTATTTATAATAATTATAATATTATTTATTAATAATATGATACTATACATTACAAAGAGCACAGATTATGACATGTACAAAGCTCTGCACGCTACACGAAGACACTCATTAATTTGGTCGATAACTCCTTAATATGTCCATGATAAAGGGTTTTTCTTTTTTTAGGGGGTGTGGGGGGGGGTTTGATCGCATTAATATAAATGCGTCGGTGAACCTGCCCACCACCAATTTAATAAGGTTTGTCACGCAAACAAAACGTGCCAATTAGTAAACAAGTCCGCGATGTTTACAATTCGAGGACCGTGACGCTTCGCCGCTGATGGCAGCCAGCCTCATCAGGCGATGAGCGAGAATTGTGAAGAAGCCCTCCTGTCTCGGTCTCAATTAGAGGGAGTGAAAGGTGACGTCGTTACTTTGAGCCTATCAGGTGCGTGTTGAAAACAACAACAACAACAACATTCATTTATAGAGAGAGGATCGCAGAGCATTGGTAATTGTTGGTAGGACCGGCTGCTGCTGCTGCCTTCCCAACAGGGGCATCCCTCGACTCGCTGCTGCCAGCAATTGGCGCCCGAGGGCAGACCCAGGCCGAGGTGTTTTGGTAAACTGGGAAACGTGTTGCCCATATATCCCGTTAAGTGTTTTTGTAAGCGTATTTTTTTTTTGAAACAGAGGCATAATTATTCGGTTTGTACGTCCGTCCGTCCAACCAATACATTCCCAGAAATGTTTGTGAATTAATTATAATTCATATTCCCTTAGTATGCGCACGGGAATTGAAATAATTACATTTTAGTTATTGTCTGCGTAATTTTGTATTCGTATTTTTTTGTTTGTATATATTTCTTAGTATTTTTTTATTTATATGTTTTGCATGTTTTTTATTCGTATTTTTTTATTTGTATTTTTGTATTCGTATATTTGTATTTGTATATTTCCCCTCGAAATTGGCGCCCCACTTAACTTGGCGCTCTAGGCGACCGCCCTCGTCCGCCTCTATGGACTGGTGGCCGCCGCTGGGTCTCAATCGTCTGCGGTGCCTCTGAGTCGTCCTCTCTCTCTCTCCCTCTCTCTCCCTCTCTCTCCTCTTGTCTGTCTGAGCGTGAGCTAATATCGTGCGTCGACATGATTCAGACCATATTCTTGGGGTCTTTCGGTAAAGTCACGTCGAACAAAAAAAATACCCAAAGACCCAAAGAACTTGAATTCCTGCAGTCACGAAAGCTTTAAGTCAAGATGATTCAGACCACTTCGTATGAATGTTTTACAACTGACATTCTGTCCGGTGTGGTGCTATACGTACCTTTTGGTTCCTTGGCTTTGGAAAAGCATTGTTTCCAAATTTTACTAAATCGTGTTCGATTTGATGTGCTTCTCCATCTCTCTTTGTCTCCCCTACATGCTAAGGCCTCGGCACAGAGACCCTGTCTCTCTGTGCTCCATACGTGTGTCTCTCTTTGTGTCTCTGTGTTAACTCCCTCTACTTAGGTGTCTGTATATATATCTGCGGTTCTGTGTTTCCTCTCTCTCTTAAATTTAGCTCTTCTGTGCCTGTTGATGATTGCTTGCGTTGCAATCGAAACGTCGTATGCTATTATGTAATTTTATTATTATTTCTTATTTCTACGTAACTTTACCGAAAAAACTTAAAGAGTCATTCCTGAAGTCACGAAAGCGCCAAATGAAGTTTGAACCACTTCTACGGGGAGGTATCAAGTCTGTGTCTTTGCGTTGTCTCTGCTTGTGTGTCTGCCTTTGTGTCTCCGTGTATGTGTCTTGTCTCTCTCTCAAATGTCACACTTAAGTTTGTGTCTCTGTGTTGTCTCTACCTGTGTTTCTGCCTTTGTGTCTACGTGTATGTGTCTTGTCTCCCTCTCAAATGTCACAATTAACTTGGGTTTGTCTCTGTTGTTGTCTCTACTTGTGTGGCTGCCTTTGTGTCTCCATGTATGTGTCTTGTCTCTCTCCGC